AGGTCTGGGCCCCTTCCCCTTCCCCTTCCCCTTCCCCAGCCGTTTTTTGCTGGCCGGGGCCCAGAGAGGGCCCCCAGAGGCCGAAGATATAGAAAAGCTGTCCGCCGCGATTTGTCATTACCAGAGGGCGTTTAGGTAGGCAGCCCGAGGGTGCGACGAGCCGGCTTCAGGCCATCGCAAGTGCCGCCACCCAGCAGCTAAAGGCAGAGTCCGACAGCACCGTCCAAGAGATCCTGCAGCACTCCCGCTGGCACGCACGACCTCTGCAACACCATGAGCAGACGATCGGGAGTTGGAGAGGGTGAGGACAAAGGAGGAATAGGACGACGACGACGACGACGACGACGAGGGCAGGAGAAAGAAGGGAGGAGAAGGTGGAGGACCACAATAAGCCCAAGACTCGTCAACGATGTTGCAATACACCATCCTCCAAGTTTCCTCTTCATAGGTCCCTACAAGGGTTCATGTTCACTGAAAGAAATACCCCGTTGGAGGACAACCGTCTGAAAATCCTGAACCAAGACAGAACACCATTCTTGGTATTTCAACGCCGCCCTGGCGATACTGAAACGCGCCAAATCACCATTCCTGGGACTTCAAAATCGCGAACCAATGTAACTAGTTCGCCCTGACAGTCCTACATCATGCCAGAACACCAATTCTGGAACGCCAAAACGCCAGCCGCAAGAATTCTAAACTGCTGTAAACTCTTAAGACGAATGTGCGCTGCGCTGAGGCGAGAATCACATTTGAAAACCGCCCGCCCTCCACCGTGAAACTCTCCCAAATGTTCCAAAAATATGCACTGCGGTAGAGCGAGAACCACATTTTGAAAACTGCCCGCCCTCCATCCGTAAAACTGTTACAAATTCTCATCTTCAAAATAATGAACGGTGACGAGGTCTCAGGAGAAACGGCCGGCCAGCCCTACCGACACGCGCCGGGGTGCGACAGGGAGGAGTTATTAATAAGTGAAAGGGATGGAGGAAGAGGAGGAGAAAAATGATACTGATAATGAGACTGAAAAGCGGCGAAGTCAGCTGTAAGAGCGAGGTGGAAGGGTAGAGGACGAAGATGAGCATGCGGACGAGCATGGACGAGAAGGCAGACAAGGAGGAGTACAGGAAGGAGGAGAACCAGGAGGACGAGAAGGTGACAAGGCGGAGAGGAGAAGAAGGAGGGGAAGAACCGCGCGAGATACGGGTGGCAAGCTTCAGCTTCGCATCCAATGTGCCAGAATCCCTATGGCCCGCCGAATGGGCGGAATGGAGGCTAAACCGGTCGTGTCCCCCGCGAAGCGGTCTGTATTTTTCTTGTCGCTGGACCAGCCAACTACCCAGTTGTTGAAGCCAGCATCGCAATTGTACGGCAAAGTGGTACTTGTGACGCTGGTGGTACTGGCGCTGGGACTGCTGCTCTTGCTGGTGCTGTTACTAGTGCGCCGACGCGACGTCGTGAAGGACTTCGGCCTGTTCGTGGTGACCCCCTCTGAAGACACGGGCGTGGGCGCTGGAACAGGCGTCGGCGCCGCCGTCGGTGCCACCGAGGTTTTGTCCCAGCCTGCGGGGCACACCAGGCCCTGCTCCCTGAACTGCACGCAGCAGTAGGCCTTCTTCGCTTCTGGCCACGCACTACGTTGCCCCGTGCTGCAATCCTTGGAGCCGAAGGCCGCTGTCGTCGTAGCCGCGCGCGTCTTCTCCGTGCGGTTCTGGCAGCCGACGTCCTTGTGCATGCAGCAGAACTCGCGCATGTCGGTCGGCCACTCATCGTCGGCATCCCACTGGGTGCAGCACCTGCCCTTCCTCTCTGCCGACCAGTCGCCCTGCCAGCTGGCCGAGTCCACCCTGCAGCTGTCCAGGGCCGCGCCGGGTCCCGGCGCCTCGTCTGGAGAGCAGCCCATCTTCCTGTGCTTGCAGCACCACTGTACCTTGAGGTCCGGGTGCAGGATGGCTTCCTTGGTGAAGCCGGCGCTGCAGTTATACGGGTCGCCCGACGCCATCGCCTCGTCGTCGCCAGGGCAGATGCCCTTGGCGTCGCAGCACCAGTGCACCTTCTCCACTGGCCAGGAGGTTACCCAGCTCTCCAGCCCGTTCACGCAGTTGTACTTCTCCTCTGGGGTAGTCGAGCCGACGGGCGGGCAACCCTTCCCCCCGTGCTTGCAGCCCTCGTCTGCGGGCACAGGTGTGCAAGCTCTTCCTTTGAAGCGGCAGCACCAGTAGACCTTCTCTCTGTCCCACTCCCTGTGCCAATTCTCGTACTCGTCGTCGCAGTCGAAAGGCTCGTCGATGCCTGAAGACGTCGTGGCCGACGTGCAGCCCTTGTTCTCGTGCTCGCAGCACCAGTGCTTCTTGGCGTCGTCCCACCGCTCCAGCCACTCGGAGTATTCCGCATTACAGTCGTAAGGCTGATCCTCCGTCGCATCCGCCGCGGGCACGTCCTCCGTCGCATCCGCCGCGGGCACGGCTGCGCCCGCGTCGCTCGCGCCCGAGCAACCGAGCTGCTCGTGGTAGCAGCACCAATCCTTCTTGCTGTCTGGCCACCGGAGCGAGGGTACAGGAACGAAGAATGACACAAAACATAAAAACTCGGATGTCCGCGCGGATTTCTCGGATCGGCGCTGCACCCCCTTCCCTGGCGCGCGGAGCGCGCCAGGGGGTCCAGCGCGGATGCGAGAAATCCGCGCGGGCCTCCGAGTTTTCATGTTTATGTCATTCTTCGTTCCCCTAGATGGCCCGTCGCGGCAGTCGTAGTGGGCCTTTGACTACCAACCAAATCGCCCCAGCCCAACCCGAAGACCCGAATTTCGCCCGAATTTCGGGCTGGCGAGGGGTACCGGCTTCATGCGTGTTTTCTCCATGCTCCCCGACCACCCCCCCACTGGAATGGAGGGCAAATCGGAGCCTTCGGGTTGGGTTGGGGTGGTTTGGTGGGCGTGGAGGAGGAGGAGGAGGAGGAGGAGGAGGAGGAGGAGGAGGAGGAGGAGGAGGAGGAGGAGGAGGAAGGGAGGAGGAGGAGGAGGAGGAGGAGGAGGAGGAGGAGGAGGAGGAGGAGGAGGAGGAGGAGAAGGAGGAGGAAGGGGAGGAGGAGGAGGAGGAGGAGGAGGAGGAGGAGGAGGAGGTCGAGGAGGAGGAGCCTCGGGCCCGAGCCCAGAGGACGCTGGGGCAGGCCACGACCAGGGCCAGACCCACGCCAGCGAGGACGGCGACTCCGGGAGCTCCGCCGCCCGCCGGGGGGCGGCCACGTGCGGCCCGGCTTCGCCGCGGCCGGCGCTCCCTGCTCGGAGGCTGCCAAAGGTCGAGCAGGGCATCGACCACAGCATTGGCCTACCCCAGGAAACGAACATCCGATCCGAATCCGTGGGAAATGCGTGGGATCCTGGCACGCTCGCATATATATATATATATATATATATATATATATATATATATATTATCATTATCCTTATAATTATATATCATATATATATATATATATATATACATGTGGTCGCCCCCCCCCAGCACCCCCAAACCACCAGAATCAAAATCTTCACTGATCGTTTGCTCGTCGCCGCTCTCCTCCTCCTGCTCCCCCTCCCCCTCGAAAGCCTTCGGAAACCTGCGAGGTATGATCGGCATTGCGAAAAAACAACGAAAATCATTGGAAAAACCACGCAAAACCAAAAAAACAAAAAAAGAAACCCAAAAAAAAGAGAGCCCACGCTCGACGAGAGGACGTCAAAGTCTGGGGCACGCCGATTCTGTAGTCGACCCCCCTGCTCGAAGAAGGGGCGGCCCCGGACCGGCCGCGGGCGCCCGCAGCCGCTGGGGGCGCCGCCCCGAGGGGGCCCCCCTGGAGCCCCCTGCGGCCTCGCGGGAAGGGGGGGGCCCCGGGAGTTGGGTCCGGGCGTGTCCTCCTGCAGTCGTCGTCGTCGTCGTCGTCGGCGTCGTTGTCGTCGTCTGCGTCGTTGTCATCGTCGTCATCGTCGTCATCGTCGTCCTCATCGTCGTCCTCGTCGTCGACGTCGTTTGAGCAGGGGGCGACCGTCCCGGCATTCCTGTAGTCCTACCACGAGATGTTCTCAGAGCCCGAAATGTTCTAAGAACAAAGACACTGTTCTTCGAACATAAACCCGATGTGATAAAAACAAGACAGTCGCCGCCAGAAATGTTCTGAGAACATTTCGTGGAGACCACAAGAGGTTTTCAAAAAATTATTTGGTAGTGCTACACGCACGCCAGGACGCTTCGCCACTGATTGAACCAAAGGGGGGGGACCCTGAGGGGGGGGTGAGTTCGATCCGCTGTGCATCGAATTTCCGAAAAACGATGCCACCCGCGCGCCCCGATTGTCGACACCTCTCGGGTTCCAGCGGCCGCTGGAGACCTCGTTTTGCATCGTTTTGCTGCGGTTTGATGCGCCAACGGACCGAACTCTGGCGCGAAGTCGGAAATCGAATCGGATCGACTGTGCCAGGATGCACAACATCGCCATGCAAGCACTAGGTCGGGCATGTCCTCCTACAGGGGAACTGTGGACGAAAAACAACCATTAGCCAAAAACATATTCCAAAAGGGTCCAAAAATAACCGAAACATCGTCCCCTGACTACTTCTGTTTCTGACTATCTCAGAAGATCCCTCCTGCAGAGGGACACGCCCGACTTGAGCCTTGGGCCGCACTGGGCAATCGGCGGGTCGGGACCGAATCGGCTCGGGCCTGCCGACACCGACCTCGAACCGCACCGATAGGATCGCAGTGGACCCTGCCCGGAGGGCGCCATGGGCCTCCCCGGAGAAGCTGGGGGCACCTCCTGGGGGCCGGGCGCACCCCTCGGCAGCACGCCAGGCCGAAGCCAGGGCGGGGGTGAGATCGGGTGGGGCTACGTCGAGGATCCCTGAGGCCCGGCGGCCCTGGAGAATCTCTCGGGGGCCACGGCCTTCGCAGAGCGCTCCGGGACGCTCTGAGAGCGCTCTGGAGCGCTCTGGAAGGGCTTCATCCTCGCCGCAGCCCCGTCAAAAATTCGAGCCGGGGATCGACTACAGACAAGATGTACCCCACAACCACGTTCTTCTGTCGCATGAACGACCACATGCGCAGAACGTTCGTAGGTCGACGAACATACGACGCCTTTCTCGTGGATTCGACGAAGAAGACAGTCCTGGGGGTGCGGCAATTCTGCAGTCGAGACCCTACTCGAGAAACGCGCCCGACGCCTGCCGCACTTCTTTGATTTGTTTGTTTTGTTGTTGCTTGTTTCTCTTGTTATTTCATTTTATGGTATGTCTTTCTTTGTTATATTTTCCCCGACGCCTGCCGCGCCTCGGCGCGGGGGCGCCAGCCCGTCGCCCGCGCAGCCCGCCCGCTCGCCGCCGCAGCACGGGTCCCTCAGGCTCGGCGCCCGCGCGGCGGGGTCCCCGTCCGGGCAGCCGTGCCGCGCCTCTCCGGGGGGGCGACCCGGGAGGGGGGGCGTCCAGCAGCGCAGGCCTGGAAGTAGACACCGACACCGATATCGGCGGTGTGCCTCCACCGAGGGAAGAAGATCCCGATCTCGGTGATGGTGGTAATAATTCCCACACCAGCACCAGCTGGCTTCAAGGTGACCAAAAGATTACCACCAGCACCGAAGTCTGGGATGCTCTTCCCCCTGTGGAGGCAATCCCCTGCATTGGTGTCGGTGCCCATGTCCAGGCCTCCCACAACAGGGGGGGGGCTCGCAGATCGCGGCCCGAGGCATGTGCGCGGACCAGGGGGGAGGAGGGGGCAGGGCACGCACTGCGATTATAGAAGAGGGGCCTCGAGAGCTGGGGAGCTCTCCTGGCCCTGGCCACGGAGCCACTGCCCCCTGGTCAGCTCAGCACCCGCCCCCCCCCTCCTTGGGCGCCCGCGAGCCTGCCTCCCCAGACCTCTCCCGGGGTGCGTTCCGACCCGAATCTCGAGGCGAATCCGGCCGCGGTGACGAGGGCCTCCCAGGGGGCGCAGAAAGGGGAGAGCGAGAGAAGGGTAGCGGTATCGGTGCCTTTGCCTCGAGGTGCATCGTTTAAGCGATCCCTATCCCCACTGGCGTGGCCTGGACCCCATTGGCCGACGTGCCCCCCTGGATGGGGATACAGGCTGTTCTCTTCGGGCTTCGAGGGGCGCATCCCCAACTGGGGGGGTGGCATGGTGGGGCTGAGATACCACGGCACGGTAGGGGTGGGGATAGATCAAACGATACTGACCGCGCCTGTCTGGGGCGACCACATGGTACCGATACGCTACTCCCCAGACCTCTCGCGTGTGCGTTCCGACCCGAATTTCGAAGCGAATCCGGCCGTGGTGACGAGGGCCTCCCAGGAGGCTCAGGAAGGGGAAGACTAGAGAAAGGTAGCGGTATCGGTACCTGTTCTTCCACTGGCGCCGGGACAAACCAAATCGGCGAAAATCAGCGGTAACAAGGCCTCCATATTGAGAAGCCGAAAATGCAGATCGGAATCCGAAACGCCGAAGCGAATCGGAATAGGAATCGATCGAACTCGAATCGAATCGAGTCGGAGGATCGGCGGCGAGGAAGGGAGGAAAGTGGCAAGGGCGGGCCTTATCAGAAGGCTCGGCAGTCCCCTGGCCTTCTGAGAAATTGTCCAAGCCTTCCCCAAAGACACAGAAAACCTCTCAGAAGGCGCGAGGGCTTCTGAGAAGCCCCGCAGGCCTCCTCCTTCTCACTTCCCCCCCTCGCTCGCCGCCGAGAAATGGTTCGAGTAGGGGATCGACTGCAGAATTGATGTACCCCACTATTGCTCTCCTCGTCGAAGCTACAGACACATGCGTAGAATGCAAACAGATCTACGGACATTCGACGCTTTTTTGTTTCACGGACCCTCCTCGAGGAGACGTCCGCCGATATAATTTTGTCGGTCCGCGGCCCCAGAGGTCCCGACCCCTTCCTTGGGGATGGTTCTTCGTCCAGGATCCATTTCCGATGGTCCCCGCCGAAATCCAGCAAATCCACAATATTCTCGGATCTCTTCGGGGGCGGCCAAGAGGGGGCGCCCAAGAGGGGGGGGCGCAAATCATGGCCGGCGGCATGTGCGCGGCCAGGGGGGGGGCAGGGACGCAACGAAATGAGAAGAAGAAGAAGGAGAAGAAGAAGAAGAAGAAGAAGAAGAAGAGGCGCCATGAAATCTGAGGAGATACCATGGCCCACACCACGATGTGCACCCCCCCTGGTCATCACCCCCCTCTTTGCCGCCCCCGATCTCTGGGGAGTCGAAACGAGCCTTAGGTCGGGCCTGTCCCCCTACCGGGGCATTTGGGGGGAAACAAAAAAAAAACCTCCAAAAATGCACAAAAAAATGAGCAACGATGGTGACAAAATCGCCCCCTGACGATTCATTGACTATTTACCTAACAGCTTTTGCTGATAGGTTTCTAGTGGTCTCAAAAGAGAGCATCATGACTCCTCAGGGGGGTCGGGGCGGGACCCGGGGCGGGACCCGGCGCGGCTGCCGCCGCACTCGTTTTTCGCAAACAATCACACACTTCG